AATATAATTCTTTTGAATTCCTTATTAGGGAGTTCCAATGCTGCTTCTTCCTCAGGGATGTGTTCTGGGTCTGTATCCTGCTTCCTTGTTTTTACTACTTTATCTTGCTTACTTTGTGTGAACTGTGGTGTTCTCTTGTCTCCGAGACATTGTGACATTGTTGTATTTAGGTCTCTGTTAACTGTTCATGAAGAGTAGTTAAGGGTGAGTCAGGCTCTCCTTGGTGGTTGTTTATCATTTGTCAGTTTGTGGAGAAGGAAGTGGTGACTCTCAGTCAATAAGTGAAGCTGCAGGAGGTGTGGGGGTAGTTGTGTCTTATGGTCACTGTTGCTGTCTCCCACTCAGTTAGACAAAAATAACAATTGAATAACCATCAAAAAGTAAAAGCAAATGGACAAAAAACACACTGTGTAATCACACAGGAACAATAACCAGAAAAAGAAAAAAGGAAAAAAATATTTGCAGTATCTGGGGAGAGGGCAATAAGAGAAAAAAGGTAGAGTAAGAGAATAATGAAGAAAAAAGTGGGAAAAACACAAATAGAAAAACAAGGAATGGGGTTAACCATGAGAAAGAAAAAAAATTGAAACCAGGAATGAGGAAGAGAGAAAAAACTGAAAACTAGAACCTGGGAAGGGAAGAATAAAGAATAATAATAAAAAGGACAATAATAATAATTTTAAAACAGACAAAAACAAACAAACTGAAAAAAGAAAAATCTGGGCAGGGCAGGCAGGGCGCTCAGGCTCCGTCCAAGCACACAGACTGGGATGGAATTCCTGCTGGCCCAGAAGGTGGGTGGGAGTGAGGGATGGCCGCACCTCCATTCACCAAGAGGGTATAAGAGTAACAAGGGAATAGTGCATCTTTCCAGTCATTGGCATTTGGAATGTCCTTGTGGTTCCTGGCAAATGGAGCCTATTCTTAAGTTCTTGGAATCTGGGAGAACACTGTTGCTTTAAATATCCAATATGGTCTAACCACTTATAAACATTCAAAATGGCTGAGCCCTCCAGACAGGAAAAAGTCCACAGCTCTGCCCGTTTTCCTCTTTGCTGCTTCCCCTTTTATTCCCCAGCCACCAGTGCAGTCCTCTGTGCAGTCCCTGGTTTGCAGGACTGATTTTTAGGTTAATTCTTAGGTCCTAAATCCACTAGGCAATATCCATGCTGTCTGTGCCATCAGGATCACTGCCAGACCACAGCTCCATATGTCTTTCTTGGTGTTTTCATGCAAGTTCTTTTACCAGTTTGAGTTTAGTCCATTTCTATATCCTTCTCTTCAAAGCTCAGAGCTCCAGGATTATCTTCTGTATCTGTGTTAATTGGTTCCCCTTTTCTTTGTTGAAGAGGGTCTGTGCAGTTTTTTTTGTGCCTATTTCACCATCTTACCAGAACTCCTGTTTTCTGCATACTTTTAAGATTTTCTTTTTATCACTGGTTTTAAGCAATTCAATTACGATGTCCTTTGGTGTGTTACTTATATTTGGAGTTTACTGAGCCACTTGTATGTGCAGGTTTATAGTTTTCTTCAAATTTAAAATATTTTGAACCAACAGTCCACTGAAATCAATTGCATTTCCAAATAGAACACTAAAAATAAAATGAAAAACATTTAACAAAATTTTTCTAACACATTATTATTACTATAACTAGTGATAAAATTTGTTCAAGTTGATGCATACTTATATGGGTTCCAGGGAGTATACCTACTCAAAAGTGAGCTGAGCTAACTACTACAGACAGGTACCTTTGTATGCCCATACCTGTTCCAGTTTGAACCCTTTGATGACTAAAGTTTTCATCACTTTTCTTAATAACTTGGAAACTTTATTTTGACAGCGTTTCACAACTACATCTGGTCTTCTGCTGGAGCAACCGTATAATTCATATACTAGATCTGTGTTACTTTTTTTAATGGCTCAAATCAATACAGCACATGGTTCTTCTATGTTATAGGGTATTCACAATGTCAACCCAAAATGTCAAATAATAAAAAATTAAAATCTTAGTCTATAAAAAAAAAAAAAAATGTGGCCTTATGTCATCAAGTCATTATTTTCTTTGTATGGTTATCAAGTGGTTTTGTTTTATTCAGATTTAGGATTTTCTTTTCTAGTATTTGATTTAATATTAAATTTAGAATATATAAAACACTTACATGATTAAAGAATCAAAACTATATTCTAAGGTATCTTTAGATAAGTCTATCTTTTATCCCCCTCTTCCACCCCATTTCTACCTATCCCACATAAGTAATCAATTAATTTCTGGTTTATGCTTTTGTGTTTTTTTCTTACATGAAATACAACCTACTATGTACCTATTTTATAACTTGTATTATAAAAAGTATTTAAGATCCTAAACATTGTTTGCTCTCATGTGGTATATTTAAAAAAGTTAAAAACTAAACTAACATTCTTCCCAAGGCCTGTGCTAAAAGGGCATGGAGGCAGCATCTTCTGACCTCCTCCAACCTCACTGGGGGAAACATCATCAATAGTCACCATCAATAGCCCAAGGCTTATTCCTGTGAGCCCAGACATACTGTCACTCTCCATTCTTTTTACTAATTCTGACACCAGCCTTCCCTTCCACGGCACTCACTGCTTCTCTGCTGGGTTCGATAATTCACTGCAGTGGCCACACAGAACTCACAGACAATATTCACAATTAATGGGGTTTATTAGGGAAGTAACAGGTTACAACTCAGGTTCAGGAACATGGTCAGGATACAATTCTTCAATCAGGACAGTCTCCCCTCTGCTATGCCCACAGGCACGCCTCTCTGGCCCTTAGCCTCTCAGCCTGTCCTCTGCCCTTCTTGGGCAAGTGTTACAAAACTCTTTTAGCTCTGCTGATAGGTACACTTATGTGCACCCCACTCTGCCGGTAAGCTTCCTGCCCAAAGGCACACAGCTTTCTTCCTCGTGGGCACCCTAATGATTCATCTCCTGCCTCTTGGCTCCACTGTGGCTGTCTCAGCCATTTGTCTCTCAGCCAAGGAAGTTCAGCACAGGGATTTTGGGTCCAAGGACACGTTCTATCTCATTTCTACCTCTTCTCTCTTGGTGGCAGTGAGATCCCCCTTTCTGCCTCTAGGCAGGCTCATTTTAAGCCTGGCAGAGTGCCAAAACTAACCAATCCCAACATCAGAGTTGTACACACTTTATTTACATGGTCCCACCCAGTAATCCAGTGGGAGTTCCAAATACTGTGGCTAGAAAAGCCATACCAAGTATATACTGCAGTGCAGCCTGTTTTTAGAAAACACCTGGGAACTAAAAAGTTTCCTGAGTACTGAAACCTGCCATCCGGCACTGAATTTGTTCTTCATTGTAACTTTTATTTATAATAACTAGTGATCCTTTTCATTTGTTGTTTCTTTTGCCAAGTGTTCTTGTCATTGGCGGATTTTTATTTCTTTTTCTTTTTGTAATTTGTAGATTGAGAGAGTCCAGAATCCAGATCTCTGGAATTGCTACCAGGCAAAGAAAAAATCCATGGATGCCAAGAATAGTCAGACTAATAATGAGAAGCTCCTCTTCCACGGGACAGATGCACACTCACTGCCACACGTGAACCAAAATGGCTTTAACCGCAGTTACGCTGGAAAGAATGGTAAGGAAGTGAGCAGTCAAGCTGCTCCCAGTGAGGGGTCAGCCATGAGAACCCAAGGTTGCTCATGACAGTGTGGACTGCATTATGTTCCCTCATGTGGGGTGGCATGTTATAGCTAGAGCTTCAGGGCAGGATGCACTGTTCATTACAGAGGGGACTGACTGACCTTCTGAGTGGAGGAATTATTTTCAAAAATTTAAGAAATGTTAGGAAAGAAAGGCTTTCGAGAGAAAAACGAACATTATTTGACATGTTGGGCTAACATATCAAATTTTACACCAAGTTGAAATTCCCAAAAATGTTCTGCTTTTCTCTTTCCAGCTACAGCCTATGGAAAGGGAACCTATTTTGCTGTTAATGCCAGCTATTCTGCCAGTGACATATACTCCAAACCAGACAGCAGTGGAAAAAAGTATATGTATTTTGTGCGAGTGCTGACTGGAGTCTACACGCGTGGGCATAACACATTAATTGTACCTCCTTCAAAGAACCCTCAAGATCCTACTGACCTGTATGACACTGTCACAGATAATACGCAAAATCCAACAATATTTGTGGTTTTTTATGACTACCAGGCTTACCCAGAGTACCTCATTACTTTTACTCCATAACATTTTCGTTTCCTTTCCGAAAGACACTGTTCATCTATAATTACTGAGTTGTAAAACAAGTTTTAGCTTCTCTATTTTCTCTCTGAACAGTATTTTTTCTAAGATCCAAGGATCCTTCTTTGTCGCTGAAATTTGATTTTTCAGCTTGGCTTTCATAATCTTGACTGAATCTATCTTGAGAGCAAATAAATTCGAGAACTTAAATCAGGTAACTGAGTCACAATTCTGTGATCACAACTGTGGGCATCAAATCTGTATAAGGAAGGAACAGGTTTGTATCTTCAGGAAGTGAAGAACGTTCATTACAAAGGCAGAGGGCACAGCTGTGCACTTTCAGTTGCCCCTGAGCACACAGTACCACATCAGGAGGCCAGGTTGCTATTGGGAGAACAGCATTACTAGGTGGCTAGGGCTGCTGTCTTCCCTGTGGGAGGAATGGTGTCTTCCTGTTTTTATCCCTGGGCTAATGACTATGCCTGATGCATACCAGATGTTACATAAGTGTTTGATAAACCAGTTACGAGTGGAAAAGCCTAATGAAACTTGTACCCAAAGTAGACACCATCTCTTCACCATCCTTGACTTATTGTTACTTTGTCTCCAATTGAACAAGTTCTGTGACAGAGAATTTCCTTCATGAACTGGCCCATGGCATGTGGGACAGCTCATCAGGACTCACAGGGCAGCTTGTGCCCTCACAACTCCAGGGGCTATGATTTGGCGTGTGGTTCAGCTCAATTGTGTCCCATGGAACTGTGCAGTACAGCAGCCCTGGCTCCAATGCCAGAAAGTCCTTTTTAATGTTGACCCCAAATCTGCCTTCTTGTAACTTCTATTCACTGGTCTTAATTCTGCACTGTGAAAACACATAGTGCCCATTACATGTTCAGTGTGAAACCTTTCTGCTTTTTTAATATTAAATAAATTCTAAGGTCATTAAATAGCATATTTTCCTTAACAGCCTAGTTTTTAATGATTTTAGGGCTTTGTGGATAAATAAACCAAAGGAATTAAGCTGTGTATTACTAATTGCTAATTCAGTATTTATTGAATGGTAAAGGCAAGTTTTGTTTTTTTTTAATTTTTAAGTTTTCACCAAGTAAATTTCAGATTCATGCACCATTTATTGAGCACACTGATTATACCAGATAGTATAATAGGTGTTGTAGTGCAGTGTGGATCACTTTTATATGGATTTTCTAGCCATAGTGTTGTAACTCCCACAAAAAGATCAGCTGGGCCACAATCTTGTAAGGGAATAGTCATTAACTATGCAAATAGTGATTTGATAATACACCCAATAGGCTTGAGTTCCTTGTGGTCCAGCTAGGGGATGCATCAGTTTTGACATCCTGGTAGACATATGTAAGGGCAGTCCTATGGAGGTTCAGGGGGGCCTCACTATCATCAAGCAGAGTAGATGTCCTTTGGCCCCAGAATCACTGTGCTGAGAACCTCCTTGACCTAGAAGAGAGAGCTGTAACACTGAAGGCCACAGAGTAACCTGTCAGCCCCACAGAGAAAGCCAGTGGGTTTATCATCCCTCGGAGAGAGAAAGTGCCAGTGAATGCTTCCAGGTGCCCCATGTAGGAGTCACTGGCAGCGGCTTGGAAGATCATGTGCAGAGGTCTTCCTACAACACGGTGGGGCTAGGTGGCTCCAAGCAAGAGGCTTGCCAGTGGAGCTAAAGAGCTATGAGTTGCCCTCTAGGACAGAGCCTGAGTGTGTCCCATGCAACATGCCACCCACCTCCCAGCACAATGGGAGTCCAGATGGGCCCTTGGGTCAGACAGGTCCAGGTAGCAGGGAAGAGAACCACACAGGCCTGGGTAGCATGGCAGGATCGCGCAGTACAAGCCTAGAAGGGCCCAGCACCAGACCTCCCCATGTACCATCGCAGCGTGGTGGTAGCCTGAGCTGAGGCAGCAGTGACATGAATGCAACATCTGACTTGAACAACTGTGTTCCTGCCCAACAACGTAAGAATGGACATGGGTAATTTGGAGAAAGGTAAGCATTCCCCTTTGAGAATCTGATGTTATTGTTACTGTTTGCTTTCTATAAATAATAATGGCTTTCACTTTCCCCACACTGTGTAAGTATCTTATGTATCTGGCTTGATCACAGATGAATGTAGCACCCATACAATGGTTGACACCAATGGATATATGTGTCTCATTCCTAGCACTCTTTTTTTATTTTTTAAAAATAACCCAAGAGACTCAGTCAAAAATCTATTGGAACTAATTGAGAGATTTAGCATTGTGGCAGGATATAAGATCAACATCCAAAAATCAGATGGATTCCTCTACACCAGCAAAGAGATAGCTGAAAAAGAAATAAGGAAATCAATACCATTTACAATAGCTACCAAAAAAATAAAATACTTGGGAATAAATCTTACCAGGGACACAAAAGACCT